TGGTTGCACTTGTCTCAGTGAGCCTGGTTGGTTTAATTATTGTTGGTATGAGAAGTGTGTTGTTCATATTGTTGATGAAATCAGTTACAGGCTGATCATCTAATAGGCCAAGGTTGATGTTGAAGTCTCCAGCTAAGAGAAGGTGGTGCTTATTCATTTGTCTGTTTGTTATTAGTGCCTTTAATTTCTCACAGAAATTTGGGATGTTTGTGTGGGGTATCCGGTAAATGGCACCAATTGTTATAGGCGTCTTAAGGTTTTTTACAGTAAAATTAGCAAAAATGTATTCCCCATATTCATCACTAAAGCAAGTGGTGCTAATACAAGATAATTGGTTAGAGTAATAGATTGCAATACCACCCCCAACTTGGTATGGTCTGCAGTTGTGGATTGCTGTGTATCCTGGTAGAAGATTTGAATAAACTGATGCAGTGGTCGGAGAAGTGGCAGATGCAGTTTAATATAGACAAATGCAAAGTTCTAAATGTTGGACAGGAAAATAACCATGCCACATATAAACTAAATAATGTAGATCTTAATATTATGGATTGCAAAAAAGATTTAGGAGTTCTGGTTAGCAGTAATCTGAAACCAAGACAGCAGTGCTTAAGTGTTCGCAATAAAGCTAACAGAATCCTTGGCTTCACATCAAGAAGCATATATAATAGGAGCCCTCAGGTTGTTCTTCAACTCTATATATCCTTGGTTAGGCCTCATTTAGATTATGCTGCACAGTTCTGGTCACCGTATTACAGAATGGATATAGATGCTCTGGAAAACATACAAAGGAGGATGACAGAGTTGATCCCATGTATCAGAAATCTTCCCTATGAGGATAGACTGAGGGCCCTGAATCTGCACTCTCTGGAAAGGCAAAGAATAAGGGAGGATATGATTGAGGTGTATAAATGGAAGATAGGATTAAATATAGGGGATGTAAATAACTTGCTGAAAATATCTAGCCTAGACAGGACTCGTAGAAATGGTGTTAAGATGGAAAAATTCAGATTCAGGAAGGATACAGGATAGCACTGGTTTCGTAATAGAGTTGTGGATGAGTGGAACAAACTCCCGAGTACAGTTATAGAGGCTAAAACGTTGTGTAGTTTTAAAAATAGGTTAGATAAATACATGAGTGGGTGTGGGTGGGTGTGAGTTGGACCTGATTAGCTTGTGCTACTAGGTCAGTTGCCGTGTTCCCTCCTTAAGTGAATGTGACCTGACCTGACTAGGTTGGGGCGTTGGCTAAGGCGGTAGGAGACTTGGACCTGCCTCGCATGGGCCAGTAGGCCTGCTGCAGTGTTCCTTCTTTCTTATGTTCTCGAGTGCAGTGTATATTTGTTCTAGCATGTGTATAATAGCATCATTCATATTTTTACTAGGCCTGAATCCAAACTGACAGGGGTTGAGTATGTTGTGGGAGATGAGGTAGGACTAGATTCACATATGAATTAATTTTTTGAAGATTTTAGAGAGAGGGTGTAAGTTGGATATTGGCCTATAGTTATTCAAGTCTGTTTGATCTCCTCCTTTATGTATCAGGGTGACCCTCGCTATTTTGAGAACTGTAGGGAAGGTAGAGGATTTGATGGATTTGTTAAAGAGTGTTGCAATGATTGGTGACAGCACTTGTGAAGCTTTTTTGTATATAAAAGGTGGTAAGGTATTTAAATCTCCTGTCTTGTTTTTTAGTGTGTTGATAATAAGGGAGACTTCTGTTGGGTTAGTTAAAGCTAGGAACAGTATGTTCGGGTAGTTGTCAGTGAGGTATTCACTGGGTGGGGTATTTGAGCTTGGGATTTTATCGGCAAGGTTTTTTCTTAAGGTGGAGAAGAAAACATTGAGTCTGCTGTTTCAGTTGTTAGGTGTTAGGGTTCATCTGGTTTTGTTAGTTTGATTGCTTTGTTTCCTGGTATCTTTTTTGTTCCTAGAATTTCAGGTAGGGTTTTCCAGGTCTTTTTCATATCACCTTTTAAGGTGGATAATCTGTTCTCATAATACAATTTTTTTGCCCTTCTTATCAGGCTGGTTAGGATTGATGAGTAACGTTTTGTTTGGTCTCTGGTTAAGTGACCTATTCTGTACTGTTTTTCGTATAGGTGCTTTATATTTATGGATTTGAGAATGCTGGGTGTCAGCCAGAGACTGTTCAGTCTCTTAGCTGTGATCTAATATTGTCATTCTTGACCTTACCCTTCCAGCCATAAGTGAGATGAGGAGGTACAAAAAGAAATGGGCATTAAACTCATCCAGTTGTAGGCCTCCATTTTCTATTTATCTAAATTTTCTATTTACCTTAATTTTTACCCTAATTTTTATATTTGCAAGTATGGTACAGAATACAGTAGGGCCCTGTTTTATGGCATTTCGCTAATACAGACATTTCAAATTATGACCAAAACTCATTATATGGCTCCCCACCCCCACCTGACTTGCTAATATGGTCTCCGAACACTACTCTGTTTACATTCTACATGAGCTCCACGTCTCTCCACTATGTCTAGAAACTTTCCAAAATTTCAAGCGTTTTAAAGTTACTACATATTTTATATACTGGAGACTGTTATATTACATGGTTTTATTTGGCATGTTTTGGTTATTGGGCTATTGAAAAATTGCAGCACAATTTTGTGCAACACTTTGTAAAATTAACTTAACATGGCTCGGTTTGCAGTGTCGCCCGTGGGATACTTCCCCAACACAGCTAGGAGCTAGCTGTGTTTATTATTATGTTTATAGATTGAGTTTAGATCTTTTAATTGTCATATCTTGCATCTGCCAAGCAATCACGGCACCCAGTAGGCATACAAGTGTTGCTGAAAGTGGCAAGAAAAGGTTTAAGCATTTAAGTCTAGGAGTTACGAAGAAAATCAAAATATTAGACAAGCTTAAGAGTGGATCATGTGTGGTGGATATAATGAGGGCCTATGGCCTTAATGAAGCATCAGTTTGTACAATTAAAAAGAATGAGGTGAATATATGAGCTTTTGTAATGAATAACCCAGGATGTCATCTAATGACAAGAATGACATGTAGATCACAACAATAAAACTGAAAACTCATTGCTTGAGTGGACCGAACAAAAGACAAAGAAAGATGCACCACTTAATTTCATCTTAATTAGGGAAAAGGCCTTACAGTTGTTTAAAGTAGTGTGTGATAAGGAAGTTGTGGAACCAGCACAGACTGGATGCGAGCTTCCCCCTCAAACAACTTTTTTTTAGAACTCCAGATCTTACAAAAATAAAAGTGAATATATAATTGTAGTTCATTGTTGTGATGTATTATGTTTTTTTTTCTGTTTAAGACTATAACTGCAACAGAAATAATAGTATTTCTTACCTTAAATTGTGGATGCTGGCATTTGTCGATGATTGTAAAGAGAGTGGAGAGCTATGCTGTGGCCCTACTGGGCTGAGGTGGATGGTAGAGGTTGTGGTACTGAGGTCAATGGTTGTACTGGAGTGTGCATAAATTCTGTAATGGATTTCTCTTTTATTTTACCCTGCAGTACATTATACAACTGACAGTAAGGCATCAGCTGCTCTAAACAGTTTCAGGGTCCTCTTCAGTGAAAAAGTCTAACTTTAAGTCAGTCAGTAAATCAGTCAAGTCAGTAAAACAGTCAAGTCAATGACTCAGTCAGTCAAGTCAATAAGTCAGTCAAGCCAGTAAATCAGTCAAGTCAAGTGAGTGAAGTCAGTCAAATCAGTCAAGTAAGTCAATCAAGTCAGTCAAGTCAGTCAGACAGTCAAATCAATCAGTCAAGTCAGTCAAGTAAGTCAGTCAAATAAATCAGTCAGTTAAATCAGTTAGTCAGTCGAGTAAGTCAAGTCTGTCAGTCTAGTAAGTCAGTTAAGTAAGTCAGTCAATTCAGTCAGTCAAGTCAATTAGTCAGTTAGTCAAGTCAGTCCTTCAGTTATTCATCACACAAATTCATATATTTACCTCAGTCTTTTTAATTGCACAAACTGACAGTTCATTACAGCCACAGGCTATGTCTTGTCTAATATCTCTATTTTCTTCTTTAACTCTAACATCTAAACACTTATACCTTTTCTTGCCATTTTCAGCAACAATGGTATGCCTACTGGGTGCCATGATTGCTTGGCAGATACAAGATATGGTAATTAAAAAATCAAAACACAATTCACAAACACAGCTAGCTCCTAGGGAGCATTCGTACTGGACACATATTCACGTTATGAAGCATTTATGTGTATTTATGAATGAAAAAATGTGATTCACTTTATGGCAATCCCCGTTTTATGGCGGAAGCCTGGAACCTAACCCGCCATATAAGTGGGGCCTTACTGAATACTCATAAAATTTTGTTATGTACAAACTTCTAAAAGTGAAATTTTAAAGCAATTTAAATCCAAGCTTTGTCATATGTTTTACATTACATGATTTTTTCCTTTATTTTTCATGTGAATTACCTAAAATTTTGCTAATGTATTTTCTACAGCAAGGTTTTTCTGTTAATTTCAGTTTTTAAAAAATTCAGGTATGAAGCTGGTGGCCTGGAAAGGGCTCTGGTGGCCTGGTGGTTAACGCTCTCGCTTCACACGGTGAGGGCCTGGGTTCGATTCCCAGCCAGAGTAGAAACATTGGACGTGTTTCTTTCCACCTGTTGGCTATGTTCCCCATCAGTAAAATGGGTACCTGGGTGTTAGTCGACTGGTGTGGGTCGCATCCTGGGACACTGACCTAAGGAGGCCTGGTCACAGACCGGGCCGCGGGGGCGTTGACCCCCGGAACTCTCTCCAGATAAACTCCAGATAAAAACCCCTGAAACTCATCATTTTCTCCTTCCTTCTCAAGCATGCTAGACTCACCCATAGAATTCAAAATAGAGAATTCTTTTATAACACTTATGTACCTACTTAGAAAATAAAACAATCATTTTATTTTTAATCCTAATAAACAGCAAGGGTTTACTGTACTTCATTTGATCACATGCTTAACTGAGGAATGTATATACATTTCAAAACTCTTACTTGCTGATCAAGATACATTCTTCTTCGCTTCAGAGCTTCACTCCATCGCTCCCGAAGAACACTGAGGTCTTCCTCTGTGTAGGAGTCAAGCTGTCTTTGGCACCTCAAACGACCACACACTGATCCAATGCTTATATTCGTAATAGCCTGAAATTTATCCAGGAAGAGCTTAGATAATGCTCCACATGACAGCCTTCCATGCTATTTATGTAAAAACATCAAGTCAAATAGTACAGATTAAAGACTTTTATTACTGTATTTATAAATGCTGAATCACAATTCACTGGAAATTACCATACAGACATACCTTGATATACATCAAGTAAAATCAGAAAATCATAACATTATGGGGACATTTTCAATATACAGTTGACCCCTGAACAATGCAGGGGTTAGGGGCATCGACCCCTTGTGCTGTCAAAAATCCATGTATAACTTTTGACTCCTCAAAAACTTAACCACTAATGGCCTACTGTTGACCAGAAGCCTCACCGATAACATAAATAGCCAAGTAACACATATTTTGTAAGTTACATGTATTATACACTGTATTCTTACAATAAAGTAAGCTAGAGAAAAGGAAATGTTATTAAGAAAATCATAAGGTAGAGAAAATACATTTAGAGTACACCTACCATCCGACTTACGACCAAGTTCGGTTCTGAGAAACCGGTCGTAAGTCGAAATGGTCGTAAGTCGAACTTTACTACTGAATATCAACATCACATTTTTGTAATGACTTTATTTTATTGTTTTATTTTGGTATTTCATGTTTTTCTTTACTTTTTAAGCTGTTAGTACTGTATTTTATACTGTAAGGTTTAGGATAAACACTGTGTACAACACAAATACATGATTTTTATTTCCCAAAAGGGGCAAAAAAACAGGGTCGTAAGTTAGTGCGTAAGTCGACAGGTCAAAAGTGGGGAGGGTAGGTGTACTGACTGAAATTTTTGAACTGTAACTTTTTATTCTTTTTTAACAAGAACAATCATCTGCTGCACACCTACTCAATTTATTAGTATATATAACCCAAAACTTTGTATCTTTTATATGTTTTAATTAATATTTTACATCAAATAAAAGAAAAATGAAAAAAAGAAATTCATATTTTTTTATTTTTTAAAAATTTGCATCCTTATGATTTTCATTATTCCTAAAACATGACAACTGTAATAATAAAAATAATATATTATTTTATTATTTTTTTTTTGCTGATAAACGTGCTGGGGAATTCAAAAAAAAGTTGCAAAGGTTAAAAGACAATTTTGGGGAAAGTTGTAAAGGGAAAGTGAAAGTGAACAAGATAAAGAGTAAGTGATGAGGGTTCAAAGTTTAGATTTAAAAAAATTGACACACATTGGAGAAGGGGGTAGGGAAAAATGAAATTTTTTTTTATTTTCACACTGGCCGATTTCCCCCAAGGCAGGGGGGCCCAAAAAAAAAACTTTCACCCCATTCACTCCCTCACGCTTGCCAAAGGTGTTTTCACTACAGTTTTTAAAAAAGCAACATTTAAAACCCCCCTTCAAGTGCAGCCTGTGAATATTTCAGATATTTTTGGGGTTTACTTTTCAGCAATGGGTTTATGAAAATAGGGTTTAAACCCAAAACTGATGAAGGAAAAAAAGGGAGTGGGCTTTAGGTTCTGTGGAGACAAAAAACGTTATCTGGGGGCAAAGAATGGGAAAGTATAAATATAGTGGTACCAACACTCAATGGGTTGAAGCTTGGTTTAAATGCGCAGGAGGGCGGGCAGTGGAGATGTCCTATCGAAGGGCAATGTGGTGTAAATTTTTTTTTATTAAAAACGGCAGATTTCCCCCCAAGGGAGGGGGGCCCGAAAAGAAAAACTTTCACCATCATTTACTCCATCACTGTCTTTCCAGAAGGGTGCTTTACACTACAGTTTTAAACTGCAACATTAACACCCCTCCTTCAGAGTGCAGGCACTGTACTTCCCATCTCCAGGACTCAAGTCCGGCCCGCCGGTTTCCCTGAACCCCTTCATAAATGTTACTTTGCTCACACTCCAACAGCATGTCAAGTATTAAAAACCATTTGTCTCCATTCACTCCTATCAAACACGCTCACGCATGCCTGCTGGAAGTCCAAGCCCCTCGCACACAAAACTTCCTTTACCCCCTCCCTCCAACCTTTCCTAGGCCGACCCCTACCCCACTTTCCTTCCACTACAGACTGATACACTCTTGAAGTCACTCTGTTTTGGTCCATTCTCTCTACATGTCCGAACTACCTCAACAACCCTTCCTCAGCCCTCTGAACAACAGTTTTGGTAATCCCGCACCTCTTCCTAACTTCCAAACTACGAATTCTCTGCATTATATTCACACCACACATTGCCCTCAGACATGACATCTCCACTGCCTCCAGCCTTCTCCTCGCTGCAACATTCATCACCCATGCTTCACACCCATATAAGAGCGTTGGTAAAACTATACTTTCATACATTCCCCTCTTTGCCTCCAAGAACAAAGTTCTTTGTCTCCACAGACTCCTAAGTGCACCACTCACCCTTTTCCCCTCATCAATTCTATGATTCACCTCAACTTTCATAGACCCATCCGCTGACACGTCCACTCCCAAATATCTGAATACATTCACCTCCTCCATACTCTCTCCCTCCAATCTGATATCCAATCTTTCATCACCTAATATTTTTGTTATCCTCATAACCTTACTCTTTCCTGTATTCACTTTTAATTTTTCTTTTGCACACCATACCAAATTCATCCACCAATCTCTGCAACTTCTCTTCAGAATCTCCCAAGAGCACAGTGTCATCAGCAAAGAGCAACTGTGACAACTCCCACTTTATGTGTGATTCTTTATCTTTTAACTCCACGCCTCTTGCCAAGACCCTCGCATTTACTTCTCTTACAACCCCATCTATAAATATATTAAACAACCACGGTGACATCACACATCCTTGTCTAAGGCCTACTTTTACTGGGAAATAATTTCCCTCTTTCCTACATACTCTAACTTGAGCCTCACTATCCTCGTAAAAACTCTTCACTGCTTTCAGTAACCTACCTCCTACACCATACACCTGCAACATCTGCCACATTGCCCCCCTATCCACCCTGTCATATGCCTTTTTCCAAAATCCATAAATGCCACAAAGACCTCTTTAGCTTATCTAAATACTGTTCACTTATATGTTTCACTGTAAACACCTGGTCCACAAACCCCCTACCTTTCCTAAAGCCTCCTTGTTCATCTGCTATCCTATTCTCAGTCTTACTCTTAATTCTTTCAATAATAACTCTACCATTCACTTTACCAGGTATACTCAACAGACTTATCCCCCTATAATTTTTGCACTCTCTTTTGTCCCCTTTGCCTTTATACAAAGGAACTATGCATGCTCTCTGCTAATCCCTAGGTACCTTACCCTCTTCCATACATTTATTGAATAATTGCACCAACCACTCCAAAACTATATCCCCACCTGCTTTTAACATTTCTATCTTTATCCCATCAATCCCGGCTGCCTTACCCCCTTTCATTTTACCTACTGCCTCACGAATTTCCCCCACACTCACAACTGGCTCTTCCTCACTCCTACAAGATGTTATTCCTCCTTGCCCTATACACGAAATCACAGCTTCCCTATCTTCATCAACATTTAACAATTCCTCAAAATATCCCTCCATCTTCCCAATACCTCTAACTCTCCATTTAATAACTCTCCTCTCCTATTTTTAACTGACAAATCCATTTGTTTCTCTAGGCTTCCTTAACTTGTTAATCTCCTCCATAAAATATTATGCAAGAATTTGAGTTGAAATTAGGAATGCTGGATCAACTAAAAGTTTAGTAGACATGGCTAAGGGGGCTGTATCCGGTGCATTTGGTCATTTAGAAGAATGATCAAGTAGAATGATTCGGAGAGCATATAAATCTTTAGGGGGCAATGAAGATGGGGTAGGGGGTCATCCTCGAAAAGATTGGAGGGAGGGGGTAAATTAGGTTTTGTGGGCAAGGGGCTTGGACTTCCAGCAAGTGTATGTGATAGGAGTACAGTGGACCCCCGGTTAACGATATTTTTTCACTCCGTAAGTATGTTCAGGAGCCAGTACTGACCGAATTTATTCCCATAAGGAATATTGTGAAGTAGATTAGTCCATTTCAGACCCCCAAACATACACGTACAAATGCACTTACATAAATACACTTACATAATTGGTCGCATTCGGAGGTAATCGTTATGCGGGGGTCCACTGTAAATGGAGACGAATGGTTTTTGGGACTTGACAAGCTGGAGTGTGAGCAGGGTAATATTTAGTGAAGGGATTCAAGGAGACCGGTTATTATAGATTTAGCTGGACTTGAGTCCTGGAAATGGGAAGTACGCTTTAAAGGAGGGGTCTGGGATACTGACAGTTTGGAGGGACTTCTAAACTGCCGTATCCGAGCACCTCTGCAAAGACAATGATTATGTATAAGTGAGGTGAAAGTGTTGAATGATGAAAGTATTTTCTTTTTTGGGATTTTCCTTCTTTTTGGGTCACCCTGCCTCAGTGGGAGATAGCCGACTTGTTGAACAAAAATAAAAAAAATATTATTATTATTATATATTTATTTCAACACACAAGCCGTCTCCTACCGAGGCAGGGTGATCCAAAAAAGAAAGAAACACTTTCACCACCATTCACACATAATCAGAGACAGGATGTTCCAGAGATAGGACACAGAAACATGAGGTCACAATTGGAAGTTGAAGACTGGGATGTGTCAAAGGGATGTTAGGAAGTATTTCTTCAGCCATAGAGTTGTCAAGAAGTAGAATAGTCTGGAAAGTGACATAGTGGAGGTAGGAACTATACACAGTTTTAAGATGAGATTTCATAAAGCTCAAGGAGCAGGGAGAGAGAGAGGACCTAGTAGCAACCAGTGAAGAGGAAGGCCAGGAGCTATGACTTGACTCCTGCAACCACAAATAGGCGAGTACAAATTGGTGAATACTGTCTTTGCAGGGGTGCTCAGATATGACAGTTTAAATGTCACTCCAAACAGCCAATATCCCAAACCCCTCCTTTAAAGTGTAGGCACTGTACTTCCCACCTCCAGGACTTGAGTCCAGCTAACCAGTTTCCCTGAATCCCTTCACAAAATAATAT